ACAGTCTTTTGAAACTAACAGATACAACGTGCTTCAAACAGCAAAATGACCTTAATGCATTACCTCTGCAAGGTACAACTCCCTTTTGCTATTTATATAGATTTGGTACAAGTCCCTTTTGCATAAATTTTCAAGTTTAATTTTACAGGTTCTTGCTGCCAAATCACCTGCCCTTTTGGATTTTCATGTGGATCTTGTTAGTCTCGAGGCTGCTACTAAGGTTCACAGCTTCACTTATTTTCTCAAAAAAAAATGTAAGTTTTTTTATAAAGAAAAATGATAAATGAAAGGGAGTTTCTTGTTTGCAGATACAATTGAAGTCTTTAGCAGAAGAAATGCAGGCCATTATTAAGGGTCTGGAGAAGGTCAGACAAGAACTCGATGCTTCTGCAAACGATGGCCCTGTCTCTGAAGTTTTTCATAAAGTAAATACACAAAAACATTTATTTTACTCAATTTCTTCTAATTCGATATCTTTTGTTTATATATAAAACTACAATCTGATGTGAATATATCTTTTTGTTGTATTGTTAGACACTGAATCAGTTTATCAGCATTGCTGAGTCGGAAGTGGGGTCCGTAACAAATTTGTATTCTGTGGTGGTAAGTATCAAGAACAACCCTTTTAATTAATAATTTTTTTAAAAAAAAATATATATTTTGTATTATTTAATAATGTTTGTGTTGCAGGGTAGAAATGCTGATGCATTGGCATTATATTTTGGTGAAGATCCTGCTCGTTGCCCTTTTGAACAAGGTAACGTATTTAAGTCACATGTCCTTTTTATAATCAATAATAATAATAATAATAATTGTTGAAATGCATATGTTTGAAAGTATAAGAGAAGAATGATGGTTTATGGCTAATGGTTGTGCAGTTACACAGACCCTTTTGAACTTTGTGAGGCTGTTTAGAAAAGCTCATGAAGAAAACTATAAACAAGCTGAACTAGAAAAGAAGAAAGCTCAGAAAGAGGTTGAAATGGAGAGGGCAAAGGGTATTAACTTAACAAAAAAATAATAAATATAAAATTACAACAAGAATATATATATATATATGCAAAGCATGTTGATGATACCCACTACCAACACACCTAGAAAGAAAGTCAAAGGGTGTTTGTTGACCAAAGGAACCTGAAAAGGGTATGGTTGTCCATGCACATTCACATACACATACACATACACCCACAGTTCCTGCAAACAGCTCTGATCTCTGCTGTAAATACAAAAGACACATGGCATGATTTGCTGTTTCGAGGTGAAGAAGAAGACTTGATGAAGAAAATATGTTGACAAGAATGACAATGACCCTACCTAGAGATTATTATTAATAACAATGTAGATTATATAGTCATTAACCATGTATATATATCTTCTAACCCAATACTAACATAACATCCATATTTGATTATTCACTTTGTATCATTAGGGAGAAATTGGTTTATATTAGAGTTTTTGACAAGAAAACTGGCCATAAAATTTGTTGTATATACAACTAGTGGGTATAGGTTATGATAGCAAGCTGGGAATAGGCCACTCTTGGTGTAAGTAATGTTGTAACAAAATTTGAGATTTAGACACATTTTGTTTATTTCAATTTCACATAATTGTTGGGTGACTGATTCTAATGTTCTTGGAATGCCCAATTTACTTGTCTTTTCATCATCCATGATTCCATTTGCAATCAAAATTCTTCTCTATTCTCAACTTCAAACCACCCTAAAATGTCAACCTTTACTCTCTTTCCTCTATTTCATACTTTTTTTTTTATTAATTAATGGAATAGGTCACAAACTAAAATGATTTTTTATGTATATCCACTTGATTTCATTTTTGATCTCTATAATAACCACATACCGAAGAGATCGTGTCAGTATTTTGAACCCACTCCATTAAAATTTCATGAGTGATGAATACCTGAACATCTGATGAACAAAAATACATATATGCTCGGTTTGAAAATATTCTCTATGCAAAACCGAAACGTATAACAAAATACAAATACATCTGGTTAATTTGATAACTTGCATATGATTCAATCGTAGTAGATATATTGATACATACAAAGATGTGATACATATGATTTCAATGTAACTGATATATGATTTCAAAAAACCATTCATTATTGGTTATCAAACGGCAAGAACTATTGCTAAGAACAATAAATAATGGATATGACGTTTAAGAGGTAATTTACCAAGGACAAGAACTATGATTTCAAGAGGTAATACGTATAAGGGAAAATGACTAACTACCTTTTATCCGTGTTCACATATTGACAACTTTTTTTTTTTTTTGTATACAGTAAAGTAATTAACTTGTTTTAACTGTTTAAATTATATTAATATTACCGGTTAATACATGTTTTAACCGGTAACTCAAAGGGAAAATGACTTAGGAAGGTAACTACCTCTTATCCGTGTTCATATATTAGCAACTTCTTATTTTTTGTACATAAGAAAGCAACTAACTTGTTTTAACTGTGTAACATCACAAAAATCATGAACAAAAATTTCGTTTTTAATTTAATACTAAAACCATAATTGTCAAACCATTAATTTAATACTTCGGCATCGGGCCCCGTCCGGCATCAGGTCCCGTCTAGCATCGAGCCCCGCTCGGTATACAAATCTGTCTCTCTTAGGCCCCACCCACTAAACACATGCAATCATATAACATGCTAACACATAAAGAAACATACTCTACCGTATCCCTATCCTAAGAAACATACTCAGCTAATAATGAGATACGAAACTTTGTCCGTACTCAACTAGTTCCAGCCAGGGCTTCAACAGTGCAAGGTGAGTCTCCTCACTGTGTGAATGGGTCTAAGGCCACAATGTCAGCCCATGTAGTCTATGAATAGGAAGATCCAGGGGTTAGCCCTGGGCATTGTATGCTAGTATGTTATTCCAGACCAAGGTCCGATGTCGGCGGGTGCCCGAGGAATGTTTGCATGTTAGATTATACTTGTTGTCTGTGTGATACTTGTATGTGCTTGGTAAGGAGGTGAGTGTGGGCGAGGTCCCATATCTCATCACTAGCTGAGTATGGCATATCTCATTATTAACAGAGTATGTTTCTTAGGACAAAGATATAGTAGAGTATATTTCTTTAAGTGTTAGTATGTTATATGATTGTATGTGTTTAGCAGGCGGGGCCTAAGAGAGACAGACCTGTATACCGAGCGAGGCTCGATGCCAGGCAGGCCTGATGTCGGATGGGGCCCGATGTCGGAGAATTAAATTAATGGTTTGATAATTATGGTTTTAGTATTATATTAAAAACGAAATTTTTGATCATGATTTTTGGGATGTTACACAGTTAAAACAAGTTAGTTGCTTTCTTATGTACAAAAAATAAGAAGTTGCCAATATGTGAACACGAATAAGAGGTAGTTACCCTCCTAAGTCATTTTCCCTTTGAGTTACCGGTTAAAATATGTATTAGTCGGTAATATTGGTATAATTTAAACAGTTAAAACAAGTTAGTTGTTTTATTATGTACAAAAAAGAAGAAATTGCCAATATGTAAACACGGATAAAAGGTAATTCTGAGTCATTTTCCTTACATATAAATAGTTCCTAAAGTTGAAGTCATGTTTAAAAATGATGATACTAATACCTCATGGTCAAATGTACCTCTTAAAAATTAATACAAAAGACAAAAGACAAAAACAATATTAACAAATTGTCTATAGTGTATCAATTCTTTATAATCATAAAACAAAATATAAAATACAAGCATTTATAAATAAAATCCATACACAAACACATATAATAATAATAATAATAATAATAATAATAATAACAATAATACCGAAAAACAATAAAATGAACGGAATGACTCCCTCCTCCCTAATCTGTTTATGTGCATCCAATATTTAACTTCTAAATTTCTGATGTATGTGGAGTGATTGTAAGGGAGGTGGACGATTTTCGATTGCATGCCCTTTTCGCTTCGAAATTCAAACCTCAACTCCGTTTTCCCCCAATTTCCCTTTGGTTTTTAATTGAACTGATTGATTCAAGTCCGTTTACTGCTTGTCCATTGCCTGCCCCTTTAGCTTTCGCCACGATTGTGGATTGCTGCTTGTGTGCTTTGTGTTGACAAAATCACATATTTACAATCTCTCTCGAACTTTTACTCGTAATTATCACTTTCCACTTTTGATTGTCTTGTGAATTATGTTTTATTTATTTATTTATTTATTTATTTATATTATAATTTAATTATTGTTTTGTGATGAATTTAATGTTTTATTATTTTTATATTATGTATTGTTTGTTTTTTGATTTCTAGATAAGCAATCACTTTGCATCAAAAGTCAAATAACTTGCATGATATAATTATAATTATGGCAGTGTATAGATTTCTCTTGTGAACGAGTTAAATAAACACAAATTTATTTGTCTTACACAGGCTGCAGCTTTAGCTATGGATGAATCAATCTTATATGATGATCAAGTAGGCAATCTTAACAAATTTTGTCCTACTAAACAAGAAATGGAGCTTCTCATGGTGAATATATTACTTCATACTTATGTATATTTATATGGTGAAAAAGTTTCAGTTTTGATGCAATTATCTGTTTTTTTAACGTTTTCGCTTTCTATTGTTAGTTGTCACAATTGGAAAAATTAGGTTAAGATGTGAATTCCTAAATAATATAATCTCCTTGTATAAGACCAAAAACTCGATCCAGTAAGCCAAACCCAATCATTTTGGGCCTTAGCACATAAATTCTCAACCCAATACCCTTATTGGACCAAGACTTCCTTATTGGGCCCTATTGGGCCGATAACTCCTTCAATTGGTCTCTTTGGGCCGAAAACCCTTCCTTGGGCTCTAATGGACCGAAAATTTCTTAATGAACCAAGAACTCTTTTAGGTCAAGCCCAAGATTTTCTTTCTTTCCCTCTCCTATTCGACCAATCGGCCCATATAAAAAGCAAAATGAATAAATAAATAAGAAAAGAAAAAGAAGACAAATACAAGGGTTGACTTGGTGGTGCCACCTCCCTAATACCCACCATACAACAATGCAACTATCAAATCAAGGTTCCTATAAGACAAACACCTCCTTCCCCTCCTTCCCTCTCTTATTCACAGCCAATACACACACTCACACACTCCACAAGTCTCATTCTTCTTTAACAAACACCCAAGAAAACAACCTCCTTATTCTCTTCTAATTTTCGAGTTCATCATCTTCAAAGACCAATCCTAGGCTTTTTGGTAAGATCTACACTAAACTCAAGTGTTTTGTTTCATATTTATGCTTAGAACATTCAATTTACACACTTTGTTGTGTGTCAAACTCCTTAGAACACCCATAATTTTTGAGATCTCTTCAAGGCACAAGCTAGACTCAAAGTTTCTTCTTCATCTCCTTCTACATCTCAAAAACCCCCAAGGTGAGCTTCATACCCCCCTTGTTTTCGGTTTTATAATGTTTTTGGGGGAGAACACAAGTGCTTTTGTGTTAGATCTATGTATATATGCATGTTTATGTGTTTAACTTTTAGATCTTTACTTGAAAATGAAGTTTATCACTTTGATCTTCATATAAACCTTGAGAAAAGGATGTGTCCTCACATATAATACTTGTAAACTTGTAGATCTGGGATTTATCCACTTAAAATAGCAAAAACAAGTGTTGTGAACAAACTTAGATAACTTAAACTCAAAAATCAGCCATTGACAGAAAAGTTTTAGTCCAATCTCGGACTGTTTTGACCAACTTAATGAGAATATCTTTCAAAACTGTTTTACATGGAAACATTTCATGTTATTACCTTTAAAATTACTACACGTTTTCATACGATTTTTCTACAATTTTTGGCGAATTTTACAAAATTGCCTATCAGATTTGAAATAATTTCGGACCAACCTGTGAAGGTGAGCAATTTCACACCTGTTAAAGACCAATAAAAAATTATGAGAACAATTGTGAACAATGTAGACAAAATTTCCAAACTTCCAGAATTTATGGATCCAAATTTAGACTTACGATGATTTTTCTACAAATTTTCCAACAACTAGGTCATGAAAGCCAAAAACCAGAAAAATGTGTATTTAATAAAATGAAGCCAAAAATGATATTTTTGACAAAAATGGGTTTAAAATGTTATTATTACCACAAACTAGTCAAAAACACAAGTTTTGAACAAAATGGAGGTTAAAGTGTTATTTTTACTATAATTGGGCCTTAATTGAAAACTTTGTGGCTTAGTGGGCCAAGAACGTCATTTTTACAAAAAGTGGGTTTTTTATATCAACTTTGTAAATAATCAAGCTAAAATAAACAAAACAACAACAAACGGGTTAAAAACGATATTCATATCCTTATTGGGCGTAGAAATAATATACATGTTTAGTGGGCCTTAGTGGCCTCTTACATGTATATTGGGCTCACGATAGACATTCATATTCCTTTGAGCTTGGAAATATTGGACACGAATAGTGGGCCTTAGTGGTCCACTTACATGTTTATTGGGCCTGGGAATGAGTTTTATATGTGTTCTTCTTTCTTTTCCGTGTAAAATTTCGATTAAGGATCTAGTGAGACCTGTCGGTTGGCACCTTTTAGTGTATAATCGTAGCCTGTAGTTATAACCAGAGTTTCCTGGAGGGAAAGCGGGAGTTTGTGTATATATCTATATGGGGGTGACACCCCACACCTGATCTGTTCGCTACAGTTAGACTAGGTCATTCTAGGGTGACAAAAACCTTATTCTATTCCGTGTATGGTTATAACGACACACTTAGAGGAATTAACGTTATTAGATTTACGGGAAACCATTCTAATTTCTTTTGGGGATAAAACAGGAAACCATTCTATTTTTCTTTTTGGGATAAAACAGGAAATCATTCTTTTTTTTTTTTTTTTTGGGATAAAACGGGAAACCTTTTTTTTGATAAAACGACAATTTATAAGCACCGGTACTCAACCACCGGGGTTGAGATTTCAGCATCAGCTATCGCAGACAACATCGGGTTGTCTGGAAACCATTCTCTTTCTATTTTCGTAAACATTAACACACATGCATTAATATAAGATCAAACACAAATATTTCAAACCATTTCTTTTTAGAAAATATTGGATTTCTGAAAGCACTATGAAAACTACTCTAAACAAGTACAAAAACCATTTTTAAACAAAACTACTTATGAACTCACCAACTTTTTAGTTGACGCTTTTCAAAAAGACTTATATTCTCAGGAAGGAATTCCAGTAGCAGGTAATAAGTTCGACTATAAGATCAAGTGGTGCGACTTCTAGAAATTTTACTTTCTTACTTTTGTGTAATTGATGAACAAGATTCAATATGTAAACTATGTAAGCGTGTATCTTCAATATATGATGTTTAGTTGCTATGTTTCATTCATATTCAATTGTTGTGATACTATACACGAAGTCATCCGCCCTCATATATATTCAATTGTTGCTATGACGTTTCCGCCGTCCAGGTTCGGGGGTGTGACATTAGTACTTTCATTCCTGTATTAAGCTTCTTTGTTACAACTTTTCATAATTATACAGGTGATAGGGTGATGCTGGAAAAATGTGAAAAGGTTGGTGTAGCCATATCATCAATTATTTATAGGGAAAATGACTTAAAAGCCCAACGAACTTTCCAAACTATTCAAAAAACCCCAATCATGTTTTGTCTGTTCAAAAAAACCCAACAAACTTAACCTTTTGTCTAAAAAGTCCAACAAAGTTCCAAACCGTTCAAAAAATCTCAATTTTGTTTTGTTTAAGTTCGTTGGGTTTTTTTGAACAGTCAAAACATGATTAGAGTTTTTTAAACGTTTTGGAAACTTCGTTGGTCTAACAAGTCATTTTTCCCGATACGGTAATAAGTCATGCCATTTGTTTCTCTTATTTGACATTTAGGAAAGTGTAACTTAGTTGAGTTTTTTTAGACAAAATGTTAAGTTTGTTGGTTTTTTTTTAACAGACAAAACATGATTTAGGTTTTTTAAAGGGTTTGGAAACTTCGTTGGGCTTGTAAGTCATTTTCCCGTATTTCTATCTTTTTATGAAACTTTAAGTTCACATAATTTTTAAAAATTTTATTTCCCAGTTCTTCATGGAGCTCATGAAGGTGCCACATGTTGAATCAAGTTTACAATATTGTCTGTCAAAACTCAATTTTGATATTCACATATTTCTTTTTACATATTATTATCATCATCTCATTTTGATATTTCTCTCAGGTTTCAGAGTTTAAGAAGAGTTTAAACATTGTTAATTCGGCATGTGATGAGGTTCGGACTTGTGTGAAATTGAAGGAGATCGAGTATTTGGGCAATTCATATATTTATTCAAAGAAATCCTTCATTTTCACATAAATTTTGCAGGTTCTGTAGTTGGTTTCAAGTTAGATAGTCTTTTGAAATCACCACCACCGCCACCTCTAATGTATGGTGCTCCATATCCGCCACCACCTCCACCGTCACTACCTCCTTCGCAAAGTGTTCCATTTCCATCCCCACCCCCTCCTCCACCTCCCATGCAGCTCCATCTCCACCACTTTATGAACCTCCACCCCTACCTCCTCTGCCGCCACCAACCTATGAAGCCCCTCCCCCACCTCCTCCTCCAAGACTCGTACCCCCTCCACCTCCACCTCCACATGGGTTACCGCCTCCACCTCCATTCCGAGGAGCACTATCTCCTCCTCCGCCTCCATCGCTCAGACCACCATCTGGTGTTGGTCTACTGGTGCAGGGATAAATAATTTTTAGCTTATTAACTTACTGCTTATTTGTTTATTGTGGTGGGAATAAGCATTTTTTAAAAATGTGTTTAGATTAGCTTATTGCGGTGGGAATAAACAATAAGCAATAAGCATTTTAAGTGTTTGACAAACAAAACAACTTATATGAGTAAAATGACTAATAAGCAATAAGCATTCCCTCCTTTATTAAAATAAGCTTTTTTGCTTATTCCTACCGCAATAAGCTGATTTTTAAAGACTCCTATCTAAACACTTAAATTTGCTTGTTGCGGTGGGATTAAACAATAAGGGAGGAGGGAGTCGTTCCCTCCTAACCCACCGAACCCACTGCCACATCAATTTTTATCTCTTCCTTTCCTCATCTTTCCCAACCCACAACACACGAAAATCATATCTTTTTGAACTCACTCAACCCACTCAATTAAAAAAAATACAAAACCACTAAGGTACAAGTTTTAAAACACATGGTACAAGAGAAAATAAGAAAGAGAAAGTAGAAAGAGATGATGAAGTGGGTTAGTGAAACCAATCAACCCACTCGTTGAAACGGGAGTGGTACCGTCGATAATTCTATTGCTAATTAAGATTTTACCTTTGATTGTTTTGTATTTTTTTTAATTGAGTGGGTTGAGTGAGTTCAAAAAGATAGGGTTTCTGTGTGTTGTGGGTTGGAAAAGATGAAGAAAAATAAAAGAGAAAAAATGATGTAGCAGTGGGTTCAGTGGGTTGGGAGGGAATAACTCTCTCCTCCCTAAGCAATAAACAACCTATTTTTTTCTCTATCTAAACACCCCTAAGTTAAAGCCATTCCTTTGGAACACAAGTCCACAAAGGTATTGGAAGGAAGTAGGGGTGAGCATTTGGACCGATGGACCGGACCGGACCGGTGAACCGGACCGGACCGGACCGTTTTTTGGACCCCCGGGCCAGTTCTCGGTTCTAAGATTTCTCGCCGGTCCAGTCCGGTTTTTTTCGCGGTCCGGTCCGGTTTTTACCGGGTTTAGAACCGGTTGGACATGATTAAGATTTTTGTGACGTTTTTTAAACACACATAACTCATTCGTTTTAAGTCGGATTGACCTGCAGTTTTTTCCAACATTTAGTTTACAGTTTCTAGATGAATTTAGACTATAATTTTGTTTATTTTGGTATTATATTTACCGTGTTACAATCCTTCAAAGTAGAGCTATCAAAGCTGAAAAAATTCAGCTTTTCAGCAACATTTTGTAAGTTGTGACGTTTTTTAAACACCCATAACTCATTCGTTTTAAGTCGGATTGACCTCCGATTTTTTCCAACATTTAGTTTACAGTTTGTAGACGAGTTTAGACTATAATTTTTTTTATTTTGGTATTATATTCACTGAGTTACAATCCTTCAAAGTAGAGCTATCAAAGTTGAAAAAATTCTGTTTTTTAGCAAGATTTTATTATCTGTGACGTTTTTTAAACACCCATAACTCATTCATTTTAAGTCGGATTGACCTACGGTTTTTCCAACATTTAGTTTACAATTTGTAGATGAATTTAGAATATAAATTTGTTTATTTTGGTATTATATTCATTGAGTTACAATCCTTCAATGTAGAGCTATCAAAACTGAAATATTTCAGCTTTTTAGTATTATTTTATACTATAATTCCGAGTCCGCGTTTAGCACTTGTGGTAGAGTTGTAAGTGAGTATCAAACTAGTTTATCGACATTGATAGTTGAAGCTTTGTTATGTACCCAAGATTGGGTGATAATGTTTATAAATCCGATAGTTGACAACGTTGATGACATCTTGAACGATGATGATATAGCTTTGGGTAAAAAAAATTACAATCCTTATTATTTTTTTATACAATTATTCATTTTTATTAAATACTAACAACATTTTCATTTGTGTTTATGTAGAGATTGCACAAGCTTTAAATATGTTACATATGGATGACAATAATATGGGGAAGAGGCCAATGGAAGATTAGATTATGGGTTTATGAAATTTGTTAGTTTGATTGATTTTAAAGTTTAAACTACGATTTTTGTTGTTACGGTAATACTTTTGTATGTTTGTCTTAAAATTGTTTAACTTTTGTTGGTGAACTTGATTTATATGTTAGTTGCTTTTATTTGGAAAATTAATTTTTGCAAATTGCAAGTTATAATATTATACATCAATGTAGATTAGTTAGGCGTGAAACGGAAACATATTAATTTTGCAAGTTATAATATTATACATCAATGTAGATTACTTATTATACTCTAAGAAATTAAAGTTGTACCGGTCCAAACGGGTCCAAAAACCGGAAAACCCGGACCTGGACCCGAACACGGACACGGACACGGACACGGACACGACTCATCCGGTCCGGCCCATGGTCCACAAAATTCTCCATAACCGGTCCGGTCCAAGAGCCGATCCGGTCCGGTTTGATCCAAATGCTCACCCCTAGAAGGAAGCTTGTGGGAAGAATTGGAAACACACGGAGGAGAACCCTCCAAAGGTATTGCAAACACTTTTACACTAAATTACAAAAATGGTCCCTATGGTCTAGTTTCAGTCCAAAATAACTTTTTGGTCCCTGGTCAATGTGAAATGACATTTTTAACCTTTGTAATATTTTTCTTTTCCTGATTATTTTGATTTATAAAAAACTGTAAAACGAAAGGGACTCAACCAACTCTCCCCTTTGTCAACCACGAGGACCAATTCTGTAATTTACTCCAAAGTTTTAGATGTTGTTGTGATTTATTATGTTGTTACTGAATCGTAGTGCACCGGATTTTGATGTTTCAGAACTTGAGACACTGTTCTCTGCCATAGGCCCAAAAAAAGATACTTCTAAAAAAGAAAAACTCCACAAGATTATTTGTTCAAATCCTGAAAAACTCCACTTGGTAATGCTTTGTAAATTAATAAATCAATTAGATAAATGACTTACATCTAGAATATCGATAATTATTTTTCATTTAAACACTTTGAAAACTGGACTACATTAGTTTTGGATATGTGCCATTTAGCATCCAATAATTTTTTTTTACATATTCAGTACCTTTACTCATTATTATTGCAAATCTGTTAAGGGTATCAGATGTAGTTTAAATGATGGTATTGTTTATAAATGCTCTTAAGTTGTTTTATGAATAAGTTGAATAAAAGAATTTTTTTTATTGGCATCTACAGGCTGCTCTTAATGGGGCATTTTCATTGGGTGACAGTTGTTGACTTGCAGTTTTGATGCAATTATCAATTTTTAATCTGTTGTTTGTAGTTTTAGAATTATACATGTGACTTAGATATGGTGGGAAAATGTGAACATGTTGGTAACCCAGATCATGTATTATTTCATCTTTTTATCAAACTATAAATTCTCATGATTTTTTATAAATTTTTATCTCCCAGTTTTTCCTTGAGCTCATGAAGGTGCCACACGTCGAATCAAAATTGGCGAGCTTTTCAGCTCAAAATTCAATTTAACACCCAAGTATTTTCTTTTCTTTTTATATTTGGAATCTACTATATATATATATATATATATATATATATATATATATATATATATATATATATATATATATATATATATATATATAAATTTATTATCTCATTTTGAGATTTCTTTCAGCTTTCTGAGTTTAAGAAGAGATTAAACACTTTAAATTCTGCATGTGATGAGGTCCGGACATCTGTAAAATTGAAGGAGATCATAAAAAGAATTTTTGTATTTAGGGAATACATTAAATCATGGAACTCCAATAGGTAAATAAAAAGTCGGCCTTTCTGGTTTTTTCATATTGAGTTTTTTATATTTAATAAAAAAAAATGTTCATTTTTATACAAAATTTGCAGGTGATGCAGTTGGTTTCAGCCTTTCAGGTTATCTAGTCTTTTGAAACTCACAGATACACGCTCTTCAATCATCAAAATGACCTTAATGCATTACCTCTGCAAAGTACAACTTCCTTTTGCATTAGTTTTATTATTTACACAGATTTGGTACAAGTCCTTTTTGCATAAAATTTTCAAGCTTTTTACAGGCTCTTGCTGACAAATCACCTTCCCTTATAGATTTCTTGCATTGTTATTTGTTAGACACTGAATGAGTTCATCAGCATTGCTGAGTCAGAAGTGGGATCTGTAACAATTTTGTATTCTATGGTGGTAAGAATCAAGAAAAAACCCTTTGAATTAAACTTTTTATACATATATATTTTGTATTATTTAATAATTTTTGTGTTGTAGGGTAGAAATGTTTTGCATTGGCCTTATGTTTTGGTGAAGATCCTGCTCGTTGCCCTTGTGAACAAGGTAACATATTTAAGTCTCATGTCCTTTTTATAAGGAGCAATAATAATGCTAATAATATTAATGACAATTGTTGACTTAAATATATTTGAGAATATAAGAATAGAATGATGGTTTATGGTTGTGCAGTTACACAGACCCTTTTGAACTTTGTGAGGCGGTTTAGAAAAGCTCATGAAGAAAACTATAAACAGGCTGAACTAGAAAAGAAGAAAGGTCAGAAAGAGGTTGAAATGGAGAGGGGCAAAGGGTATTAACTTAACAAAAAAATAAATATAATAAAATTACAAGAATATGCAAAGCTTGTGTTAAAGTAATTCAAAGTTGTGATAAAAGTTTTAATCTCTGCACGTTTTTTTTAGTATTTGAATGGAATAAGTCAATCTGAATATGGGCTAAGTGGTCCTGGTCTTTAGGTGATAGTGGAGTCAGTTCCTTATTTTCTGCATTAGTCTAGTTTAAAAAGGGCATGATGTACGTTGATGGGTAGTCCCTGTGTGTGTTTCTCTTTCACTTTGATTGTGAATAAAAAGTATAATCTTTTGCCCAAATTGCTCTGTTGTTCCCTGTTTAATTACTTCTCTGCATTATTCCGATTTTACCCTTCCTTATGATAGTCCTATTTTTGTCCTCTGTTAAGTCTACTTTCCTATCCCTTGTTTCTTAATTGGTGAAAAAGGCATTGTCACTCCTGCAAAAGCTAACACTTGGTATCAGAGCAAACCTGGTGCATGCCCAAATATCAATCTCGTGAAGAGATGACAGGAAAAAATGGTAATGGTGAGAAAGATGGTCAGGTCACACTTCATTATCCAATGCTATCAAGGTCCAATTATGTTGCTTGGGCAATCAAGATGAAGGTGTTCATGCAGGCCCAAGGAGTTTGGGATGCTGTGGAACCAAGAACAACAAACACTGTGGTAGAAGTGCAGAAAGATAAGATGGCCTTGGCAGCTATCTATCAAGGCATACCAGAAGACCTATTGTTGTCATTGGCTGAGTAGAAAACAACCAAAGAAGCATGGGAGGCTTTGAAGACCATGTTCTTGGGAGCAGATAGAGTGAAGACAGCAAGGATCCAAACTTTAAAGGCTGAATTTGAAGCCTTAACCATGAAAGAATCAGAGGATGTAGATGAGTTTGCAGTGAAGATAAGCAACCTAGTGAGCACTATGCGAGCCTTGGGGGATGCAATATAAGAATCTTATGTAGTGAAGAAGCTACTAAGAGCTTCCTTCAAATTGCTTCCACTCTAGAGCAATTTGGTAACTTAGATGAGATGACAGTTGAAGAAGTCATAGGAAGGCTGAAAGATCATGAAGAAAGGATGAAGGGACACAGTGATAATGAAGAAAGAAAACTCCTTTTGACCCACCAGGAATGGTCAGAAAGAAACAAGAAGAAACAAGAAGACTCCAAGTCCACTCACAAAGGTAACCGTGGTGGGTTTGGAGGGTCACGAGGAAGGGGTAGAGGCCGCAGCAGAGGTGGAAACAATGGTGGTCGTGGTGATCGTGGAAGAGGCAACTCACACCATCAAAAGGAAGACAAGCGTGGCCAGTCAAGTAATCAAGACAAAAGTGGTGTGCAGTGTTACAACTTACAACTATCAAGAATTTGGTCACTATGCTGCTGAATGTAAGAACCTGAGACGTGAGAGAAATCAAGTGAACAACTTGATTCAAGACCATGTTGACAATGAACCTACACTACTTCTATCATCTTTTGATGGAAGTGAAGAGATAGGGGAAGTCTTCCTAAATGAAGAAAATATAAACCCACCATTGAAGACAAAAGGGGATACAGTGAAGCAATCAAATATGTGGTATCTGGACACAGGGGCCAGCAACCACATGATTGGGGACAAGTGCAAATTTAGAGAGCTGGATGAAAAAATTCAAGGCTATGTGAAGTTTGGGAATGAGTCTAGAGTCAGGATTGAAGGCAAGGGCAAGATTGTCTTTCAATGTAAAAACGGAGAACACCGAAAACTTGAAGAGGTTTATTATATCCCAGACTTATGCAACAATATAATAAGTCTGGGACAACTAGCAGAAGGTGGAGATGAGATTAGAATAAAAGATCCATTCTTATGGGTGCATGATACTGCAGGAAGGCTGTTAATGAGGGTTCAAAGATCTCCAAACCGACTTTACAAGATCGAGTTGGAAGAGGTGAAGTCAGTGTGTTTAGTTGCTGAAATCAGTGAACCTTCGTGGCTTTGGCACTCTAGGTTGGGCCATGTAAACTTTCACTCGTTAAAACTCATCTCAGATAAGAAAATAGTTGAAGGAATACCAAAGATACTCATCCCAAATCAGCCATGTGAAGGTTGTCTGGTAGGAAAGCAGTCACGAAATTCCTACTCTTCACAAGCAAGTTATAGGGCAAAGAAACGATTAGAGCTAGTACATGGTGAATTGTGTGGACCGGTCTCACCTCCTACACCCGCTGGAAACAGGTACTTCATGTTGCTTGTTGATGACTACAGTAGAGTGATGTGGGTGTATCTCATGAAGACAAAAGAAGAAGCTTTTCAAGTCTTCAAGAATTTCAGGTCAAAGGTTGAAACTGAAACAGGTGAGAAGGTCAAAGTCTTGAGAACGGATCGAGGAGGTGAATTTGTTTCAAATCAATTCACTTCATACTGCAGTGAGACGGGTTTGACACGCCATTATACCGCTCCATACTCCCCACAACAAAATGGATTTGTGGAGACACGGAATAAGACGATTGTGGAGATGGTAAGGAGCAGCTTGAAGTCGATGAATGTTCCTGATGTGTTATGGGGTGAAGCCGTGAATCAAGCAGTATACTTGCTAAACTGGGTCAACACCAAAGCTTTGAAAGAAACTACTCCATATGAAATATGGACGGGGAGGAAACCACATGTAGAACATCTCAGGGTATTTGGGTGTGTCGCACACATGCTAATTGAAAGGAGTCATCTAAAGAAATTGGAAGATAGAAGTAAAAGGCTTGTACATCTTGGAGTTGAGAAAGGAACGAAGGCGTATCGGCTGTTGGATCCCGACATAGGTGCGATGTATGTGAGCAGAAATGTTGTTTTTGAAGAAACTAAGACTTGGGCATGGGAAGAGACGAGAAGAATCAAAAGTATTCCAGGGATCAGCTTCACCATTGGAGGTTTTGACCTCGACGAAGTCAATGACGTTGAAATTGCGTCTACGCCTTGCACTCCAGATGATCACACACATCAAATGCCCCAAATAAATATGGACTGGAATGCAAGTGGGTCTCAGCCCACTAACCAATTAATGGACCCACACTTAAGCCCACTTGATTTGCACTCAAACCCACCATCGACTCCTAAGTCCCCAATTACGCCAAATGTGCCAGTATCGCAAGACGACTCCCCTGGTACCGCTTCGAGCTCGACAGGTGGTGGCGCCCCAAAGCGCTATCGGCTACTCACGGATTTGTATGAGAGTACTGAATAGCTGATGATGATTCACGACGATGAGGAACCTGCCACATATACAGAAGCACGAAAAATTAAGGAATGGGTCAATGCTATGAACTTGGAAATAGCCTCGATCGAGAAAAATAAAACTTGGAACCTGGTTGATCTTCCAAAGGGACGAAAAGCAATTGGCTTCAAGTGGGTGTTCAAAGTAAAATGGGATCCAAGTGGGAAGATCGTGAAATGCAAGGCAAGAATTGTCGCAAAAGGTTATGTTCAAAAACAGGGAATAGACTATGATGAAGTATTTGCACCAGTGGCGAGAATTGAAACGGTACGTGTCATCCTAGCCCTTGCAGGTTCTAACGGTTGGCATATGCATCATCTTGATGTGAAATCAGCCTTGTTGAATGGGAAATTGGAAGAGGAAGTCTATGTTACATAGCCTGAAGGTTACGAGAAGAAATGTGACACTAACAAAGTGTACAAGTTGTCAAAAGCCCTCTACGGGTTGAAAGAAGCACCCAGGGCTTGGAATGCTTGTTTAGATAATTACTTGAAGAGTTTGGGATTCACGAGGTGTCTTCAAGAATACTTTGTGTACACTAGGAAAAAGGAAGGTGATACCCTGATAGTTGGAGTGTATGTAGATGACCTATTGGTCACAGGAAGTTGCCAAGAAGACGTGAAAAGTTTCAAATTGGAAATGAATGCCAAGTTTGAGATGAGTGATCTTGAACTTTTGACTTACTATCTTGGAATTGAGGTAAGTCAACATAAATCAGACATCACTTTGAAGCAAGAAGCATATGCCAGAACCATTCTTGCCAAGACCCGTATGCTGGAGTGCAACCCCACTAAAAGTCTGATGGAACACAAGGTGAAGTTAAAGAAGAATGAAGACGGGGAACTTGTAAACCCCACATAATACAGAAGAATAGTAGGAGGTCTCAGGTATCTAACTTATACTCGCCCAGATATAAGCTTTGCAGTTGGTGTAGTTAGTTGATTTATGGAGAGACCAACCATGAAACACCTCCAAGCAGTGACGGGTATACTAAGATATGTGAAGGGCACTTTAAATTATGGGATAGTCTACACTAAAGGAGAAAGCAAAATCACTATCACCGGATATTCTGATAGTGATATGGGAAATGATGAAATTGATAGAAGAAGCACAAGAGGGATGGCCTTTTATGTGAATGGCAATCTGGTCACTTGGGCATCACAGAAACAACGAGTAGTGGCACTATCCTCTTGTGAGGCTGAATTCATTTCAGCTACAATGGCAGTGTGTCAAGGCATCTGGTTGCGCTGCCTTCTCACTACCTTAACTGGTCAAAACATACCTCCTGCAGTCTTGTATGTATATAATCAATCAGCCCTTGACCTCATGAAGAACCCGGTGTTTCATGGACGAAGTAAGCACATAGACATAAGGTTTCACTTTATTAGAGAATGTGTGGAGAATGGTGAGATAATAGTGAAACATATATGCAACAGGAACCAAAAGGCTGACATTCTCACCAAAGCAATGGCAAAAGTGAAACATGAGGAGATGCGCAGTTTGATTGGAGTCAAGCAAGTGGTCAACTCTGAATTAGGGTGAAAAATGTTAAAGTAATTCAGAGTTGTGATAAAAGTTTTAGTCTCTGCACGTTTTTTTAGTATTTGAATGGAATAAGTCAATTTGAATATGGACTAAGTTGTCCTGGTCTTTAGGTGATAGTGGAGTCAGTTCCTGATTTTCTGCATTAGTCTAGTTTAAAAAGGGCATGATGTACGTTGATGGGTAGTCCCTGTGTGTGTTTCTCTTTCACTTTGATTGTGAAT